AATGGCTGGGAATGCAAACGCATTCCAAAATAGGAGCAAAATGGGACAAAGGGGACGAATGTAGAAAGGTTTTTAAGAGTGTAAAAAAAGAGAAAGGACGAAAATGTAGAAAACCGTAAACAAGAAAGAATGCAAATTATATTATGATTCATAGGGTAAAAGAGGGAAAAGAAAAAATATTATATAATTTTATATTAAGAACAATATATTTTACACTTCTTTTTACATCTTCCCCCTTTTTACCCTTTTTGACCTTTTCTGTCATCCATTTCTACATTTTTCGCCGAGATTTTCACTTAACCTTAAATATGAAACATTCCTCCAAAGCTTCAACTTTCTAGCCTTTCGCACTCTCGAGTTATGAGTTTTCCCGCCAAAATTTTCACGTGCCTGTGCGTAAGCCCCGGGCACTCCTGGGCAGATGAATTTGAAAACTTTTTGTCATACATGGGTAGGAAACATTCTCCCAAGGTTTCAGCTTTCTAGCTTTTCTCATTCCCGAGTTAGCGATTTTTGCGCCAAAACTTTCACGCGCTCATACGCGGAGCTCAGGCGTGAGCGAGGGATGAAACTGCGGTCCTGGGGTGGTACGTGCCTGGGGAAGACACTGGCAAAATTTCAGCTTCAAAGCCTACGTGGTTAGCGAGTTGAAATACCCGGACAGACGAACACACACGCACACACACAAACATACACACACACACACACACACTGACAGGGTCGTTGCAGTATGCGTTTTTGCTGCTTGTTGCAGCGCTCTAGCGCTGCACGGCAAAAACGCATAAAAAGTTGCTTATTTTGTTACAATTCAGCGCTGATCATAAATACAGCGAGAGATATTAGGAGCGCAGATGTATAAGCACGTGAAAACGAAGGAACTAATCTAAGCATTAAAATACAGCTTGACAAATTATTTTTTTGTGATCCGGTTGAATTATTTTCCATGGAAAACTTTTCCAAAGAAGCTTAGCTTCGTAGATTCAGTGAAGTCTTGGTAAGGCCCAATTTCGTGGGTTTTATGAAAATAAAAATTTATGAAAAAGAAATCAAGATTTCTTGAAACCATCTAAATTTTATCGGATGCGCTAAGATGCGGAAATCAGACCCTTCCATCAAGTTTCGTTCAATTATTAAGAGCAAACTAAGATGGATCCATGCAGATTATCCTACCAGCAAAGTTTCTCACAGGAAATTACTGCAAAAAAGCTTTTTTTAGAGCCAGTAGGAATGAATGAGTTTACACAGACAATGGTGCATGGGAGACAAAATAACTCGAGACAAAGTGCTTGAAAAGGGACGTATACTATGACTAAGCCAACGTTGAGTTCAGAGTCCGCCAGACAGGCAGCGTTGAAATTAGATGAAAGAGGCTGTTAGAAGGTTATAAGGAACTGCAGCGTATGTGCTGACACATCTGGCTTTGTTTGTTTTTCGAAAACAGTTAATTTAAAGAAGTTCGATTTAATTTAAAGCTACTGTGCTGCTCCAACATTATTTGAAGGTTAGTGAAAGCTATGTTCCATAGAAAGCATGGTATTGGAATGCTTCGGTCAAAAAAAAAAAAAAGAAACAATGTGCAAAAACAATGCACACGATAATAATAAAGGACGGATGCGTAATAAATTCGGAAAATTATATGCAAACAGCATTAGACTGAAAGTTTTTGAGAGAAAAGAGAAAAAAGCGGGAAGGGAAGGGGTGATTCCATAACATCATGCTACTGTAGCAACACTCAGTTCTAAGTTTCTTAACATGGATTTTATCCATCCAGATCAGAAAACTACGTGAATACTTAAACCCTTGATTTTCAGCAATCTAGCGGAAAAACAAGAGCACGATTGTAACACTTTTTGACATCGAAAAATTTCGAGTTGACCAAATCATTAAATAAAAGTTTTTATGTTATGGATTTGTTAGCGCGTGTGGATCGCTGTGTGGTAACCAATTAGGGAAATAAAAAGTTTTATGTCTTACTTATTACGATGCAGGTAACAGCAATAATAACACAGAGCTTGACGTTTGGGCTCTGACGAACGGAGTGGCCTGCTGGGCAGGGGACATAGCAGGAGCTTCCGAACTCGAATAATCTTGACTTCGAGACGAAGAGGTCCGTGTCCAGTCGTGATTGTAGATTGGGTCGGCGGAAGGTGTAGCTGGCAAGCGGGGTTAATGAGTCTGAGGATGGCAGAAGAAACTGAGGCCGAGAGAAAAGATAAAGAGATTTATAAAGGGACTTAGGGCCCGCCCCATGGGATGGTGCAATGATTGGGGGGAAATTTTCGAAATTTAGAAAAAAGAGTAAATCTCTTTAAAGGAGGTGATAAAGAAAAAGGGGATGGGGATGGGGTGGGGCAAAAGATGATAAGGAAGAAGATAAGTGGAAAAGGAAAAGGTTTTTGTAGGTATGAAAAAAAGGGTAGAACAAAAATTGACGAAAATTGTAAAGACACAGGAATGCAATTGCGTGCCTGATTCATAGGCTAAAACCCAGAATGGAACGCACCAGGCTCTCTGGTGCGATCATGCGTTTTTGCACTAAACTCGCTGATCGCTGTTAGCAGGAATGATCCCTACGCTGTAGCCTAACACTTGGGTCATATTGGCGTGCTTCGATCCTTTCCGGCATGCAGAAGGAAGGGCGTCAGTTGGGATGAAGGTGGTGCATTATAGAGCCGCACTGACATCCAGGTGCATGATTACAGGTTTTTAGTGCGTGAGGTCCGGTC